ACAGGTAGAATACCTTTTATAAGTTGTTTAACAGGAGCATTCCTCAATATGAATGATACTGAGTCGGCCATAAATTCGTGGACATACTCCTTGGGATAGTATCTTAATTGTACTGTTACCCTGTGGAGAGAGAGAGGGATAAGCTACTTACTAACACCCAAAACAAGTGGAACCTCCAATTATTTGCAGAGAACAACTTATAAGTATAATCTGCTGAATTGACAGAGAATCACAGTCATATCTGCAAAGTGAAGCTGTGATAGTTGGGTAAACTTACTTTAGAACATCAACAACATCTTTAACAAGATATTTTTGCAGGTACATCATAATAAAAGACCATGACCTGAAAATCTGTAAAACAACAAAGAAGAATTCAGATCAGATATGAAGATAATGTTGAGGCTGACATACTAAAGATTACTTTGCGCAAAACCCAGTACCTGCTCAATTATATCTGGTTCTCTATCAGCACCACTTTTGAGAAGACACGCCAAAGAGTCAGCAATCCTCTGGAGAAAGCTGGCAACAAAAATACGACTAGAATTATTAAAGGAACAACTAAAACCTGTTCTGCATGCATAAACTTACTGAAGTATTAGAACATAGTGGAATAAGCTAGCATAAAGATATGGGTAAAACTGTTGAAATGTTCTTTATGCCAAACTTGTAGAAGTTCTAGGACTGGGTTGATCTGCACACACCCACAAATACTAAACGTCTTCAAGGTCATATGGAATATTTTTTACCATTCACGACACCGTTAAATTAGACAGATGAAGCACAGGGAAACTAAGTTGCACGAACCCTTCTCTTTCAATGCTGAACTTGTGTCATATTCTTCAAAAAAACACTACTTTTGGAGAATCCGACATGCATCCGTTGACCTTTTTGAAAAGTCCGAGCAACATAACAGGGAAACAAATAAAACAGACACCAACAAAATGTATCAATTTAAAATATGAAGATAATACCTGCAAAATGAGAAGGATAAAAACAAAAAGACAGCCAAACAAGATAAGAAAGAAAAACTGACAGCAGGAGCCACAATATTAGGAATTGTTCCCAGAAATGACAATACTATTTCCAAATGTTATTGTTGTGAAACTAAAAGCAAGGTGCTAAACAATCCCCACAATGTTCATTGGCATGAAAGCAAGAAGAAAATCAGATAGAAGCAGCACTCACGGTAAGAAGTCCTCCAGGAGATCTCTAGATAAGGCGGCAATCAACCTACAGATAACTATAGCTCATCAATAACGGGACTTGACAATAAAGAGGAAAAAGCAATAGTTAAGCACTTTATCTTTGTTGCTCTATTAAGAAAATGATGGGAACAATAATGTAATTCTAGGAATAGTTAAGCACTTTACAGATATAGGAATATTTTTAGGAGATTTGAGAGCCTAATGTAATTCTGAAGTAGATAACAAAGTAGCATTTATGCTTCAAAAACAATCAAAGGAGTAATATTTTCTTCTTTCTTTTTTATTTTGTTATAACTGAGAAATCTCTGAGGCCAGTGGCGCGTAGTTCAAAACTTGGTAGATAATCCCCTTCCTACACCACTTAAATACCCGCTTTTCTGTGGCAGGGTTTGAACCCGTGATTTGAGCCTAACCCACACATCATGCTTCGTGCTCTCACCACTAGCAAAGGGGTTATATTCAAATGAGAACAAATCAAGAAACCTCAATAAGTCTTTCCCTGTACATTTTTATTTATCTTTTTTATCAGAAAGTTTTTTCCTGTTCATGAAAGCTCTTAATTTGGTCAATCAGAATCTATTTTTTTTAGTATTATGAATCTTTTCAGATATAAGAGGCGGTGAACTTCCGAAACTAGAGAGAAAAAGATGTACTTGTTCACAAGACGACAAAAGCAAAAACCAAGTGAATCATCAATAAAAGAATCCAGTAAGTTCCCAGAATACCCGAGGATTGGCTCAAGGGATAGTCTCCCTTTCATGTCCAGTCTAGAAAGAAGCTTTGCGACTATCAGTTCCTTCTGCAGTATAATTTGCGGTAGCGTCTGTACCAAGGGAAATATTTCCTCATAAAATGAAATAAAATCCTCTGCAGTGTTTAATTCCTGTTATTTTGTCCCAAAAAAAGAGAAGAGAAATAAGTGGAAATCCAAAAAAGAAAAGACAAAACATCCTAAAATTTAAGAAACGAACAATCAAAAGCAGTTGAAAGCAACTTCAAAATCAAATGGCAAAGCAGTCAGAAGCTATATTGCATGAACTCTTCATTTGCTTAGACATATATGTGTCGGATCTGGTGTAATACCTAATGGGTACTTCTTGCAAGTTCTTCGAACAACATTAATACTTCTCTAAGAGCTGAATGTGCTTGAACTGGTGCTTATAAGCACTGAAACTATAACCAAACGCACGTACCAGATCCCAAACTATTTGGACAATGGAGAAACTTATAGAACTCTTTACCAACTGTTTCTGTGTTTTGTTTTACAGCCTCATAGGGAAAAGAAATCCTGATTGAACCCTTACGAACTGTTTGGATCTTCTTCAAATACAAAAATGTAAACATAATCAAATGCAAAAAGATGTTAACATTATCCAAAACTTAATTCTAAGACTTTGTGAAACAACAGCTTTATCCCACTTCTCAAAACATCATCAACAGAATTGATTTGCTGACAATTTTTCGCCAACATCAAGTTCAAGTCCATATAAAAGATCTCTAAACAGAAGACTTGTAACTGTCACGCTAACAAAACGAAAAAAGTTCACACTCCGCAGATGAAATATAAAGTTAATGCAATTCAACATGAAAAAAACAGTTGAAACAATGAAATTCTCCCAAAACAAAGAATTAACTAAATATTCAACAATTTTTACATATAAGGTAAAAGAAATCTTCAAACAACAATATGAAAGTACGTACTCTCCATTCTGTAATACAATCCCGGAAGAAGGAGGAACCTTCAGTGGGCTCAGCTTTTAAAGGGTCAAGATTTCTGTACACATCAATGTCAACATCCTCAATCCGCTCTGAAAATGTCTTGAACTGCACCATACATAAAATTCAACAAATTCAATCCCCACAAAAGGAAAGAAACAATTGACAATCATAGGTGCAACAAAAAATGAGTACAATGGGCTCATGTACAAATTTTAGACGTAAAAAATTGCTTAATGTTATTCATACTTTTTACATCATAGACTAGCAAAAAGGCTATCAGCAATTGCACATTTAGTAGGTTCGACTGTAAGTCAAAGCGCCTGACATAACTACCCTTGACATAGACACTAAATCTTACGATTGAAGAACAAGCAACTGCAAATAAGTTGATATATTCAGGCCGCCTCAAAACATTAATAGTCGAAACAGAGAGCATCCATTTACATAAGATGTACTCCCTCTGTTTCAATTTGTTTGTTGGCACTAAATTTAAGAAAGTAAAAAAAAAATTGAAACTGTGGTCTTTAAATTAAAGAGAGGCTAAATGTACCAAAGATACCCTTTAATCTTGTCGTCTTAAACATGCCACGTGAAAAGGTACAACTAAAGAGTTGACAAAAAAAGGAAAAATGCATTCTTTTTCAACAAATTAAAAGGAAAATAAGAAACAAATTGAACCGAAGGCCATAAAATTTATGAAAATATAACAACAAAAAACCAACTATAATCCCATAAGTGAAAGACGCTGTGGCGGACTATGTGGCTGGTAACATAAAAGATATACCGGCAGCTAGTCAACTCTGCTTTTTAATGAGGTTAAGGGTGGGAGATAGAGAGGTTGTTTTCGATACCTCGAGCTCGTAAAAACAACAGCAACAACAAATTATACAGTTACTTCAGCAAAGGAAAAAACAGGTAATACTAAAATTGAAGCAATAGTAAGAGAGTAACAATACTAATAAAATTACACTACTTACAAAACTTGTACCTTAATCCTCGACTACCATATCTTCCTATAACATGTAACAACTCTAAAACAGCTCAGAAAAATAAGAAATAACTTACAGTAAAACGGCGGCGACCCGGGGATTTGTTGAGAGATTTAACAGCATACATATCTGAATGTGTTGCCATTATTTGCTGAATCCCCAATTGCTTTGCCCCCACTGTAAGTAGATTTCGGCTGTGGGGAAGAAGGAAAAAAAAAGAAGAAGCTAAAGAAGAAAGAGGTTTAACAAAAGGGTTTAAGAATTAGAGAAGAGGCGTCGCCGTCGTATACAAAAAATGGGTTTTTATGTTCACTTTGTTTCTTTTCGGGCCAAAGGGTTTGGTTGTTTTTTTACTTTTAAATTTTTTATACTGGTTTCTATCCATAAGGATCGTGGTGGAGTTTTGATCTTTAATTAGAAGTATCGGACTCGTCTAGGTCTAATGTGGAACTTTTCGATATAAATCTAGATTAAATCGAGCTTCAATGTGACCTTTATTAAGAAGTGTTTTATCCCAATGTAACATTTTTCAGCATGAATGTGAAATTTCACAATGCGAATCCAAATCGAGCTTCAATGCAAGTACTGATCTTCGAATGGAAACTAAAAAATAAGTTTATACTGAGTTGGATGTGTGTACATTATATTACCAAATACTATAATTAAAACAAGGATTTTTAAATACAATATAAAGAGATTATTTTATTTTGATTTTTTTTTTAAAAATACACCTTTTTAATAATCACAAAATTGACCAAAACTTAAAAATAGAAATAATGACAATAATATATTTAATGAAATCCTACAAATGAAGAATAGTTGACATAATAAGGCGGATGGCTCCTCATGATCCGAAAGGCGATTGGGAGCAATGTTTGAATGCAAAATTTATTATTATCTCGTATAGATGGAGAGTCTATTTTCAAAAAATCACTCGTCTCAAATAGAGCAAATTCAGGTAAAAAAGAAGGAATTTTAAAAATAATATAAGTAAAAAGAATAAAATTAGAAGTTCATTTAAGTACTCGTAATTTCTTTAATTCTATACTAGTCCATAACTTTGAGGTTTCTATAGATTGACACCTCTTATTTTTTGGTCTATTTCTCTTCGGTCTTGCCCTTCACCAGATCCCTTGACCAAATTTAGGGTTAGCATATTTTGTAGCTACAGTTACATGGCTGACCGGAACAATTCATCGGCGATTACAGTGACGGCAGCGGTGAAACCGATATGGGCGAAGCAAGCAGAGGAAGCGAAGCTTAAGAGCGAAGCAGAGAAAGATGCGGCTGCGAAAGCTGCTTTCGATGCCACGTTTAAGAACGTCGAAGCTTCAGCCACTACGGCCGCAGCCGCATCCGACAGTGACTTAGACGACGAGGAATATGAGCAGAAGAGGCTTGCGGAGAAGCCGATCGGTCCGGTTGACCCTATAAAATGTACGGCCGCCGGTACTGGAATCGCCGGTGGAACAGCGTGTGCTCCGTCAACTTTCACCGTTGTGACGAAGGATTCTGATGGTCGTAAGGTACCACATGGTGGGGCGCAGGTTAAGATTAGAGTTTCACCTGGTGTTGGAGTTGGAGGATCAGATTTGGAAGGAATTGTGAAGGATATGGGTGATGGGACATACACAGTGAGTTATATTGTTCAGAAGAGAGGAAATTATATGGTGAATGTTGAATGTAATGGAAAGCCTATCATGGGTAGTCCTTTCCCTGTTTTCTTCAGCACAGGTTTGCTTTTTTTCTTCACTTGGAGTGGTGAATTTCATACTGCTTTGTACTTCCTACGTCAGGTAGCTTAGCTTAGTGAAGAATAAAGAACTTTGGGAAGCAAAAGATGCTAAAACTAGCTGGGATCTAGGGACAATGGCAACATACATTAGGTGTAGTAGCATACGCCAAATCTTTTAGTTTGTCTAGAAAATTGTTGGTTAGTAATAATTGTAGTGATACTCTAGTATTAAAGAAATGTGAATTGTTTAACATTAGAATTAAATGTGTCCAATGGAGCAAAATGGATAGCTTTTTATTTAGAGGGCCTAAATTTTTCAAAAAGCTGTGTAAAATTTCTTTTTTTAGAAAAAGATTGGATTTATGAACTAAAGATATTCTTTTTAGAATGATAACATTTATCTAAACTCTAAAATACTTTTCACCCGAGTCTGATTTGACTTCTAAAAGTTGGATCAAAGTGAGTACGTGATTGATTTGTGTTTAAGCATAATTGTGGTTTGTGGTAATGTGGATAGTTGATTGGATTGTAAATTTTCAAATGAGGCTATGATATTGGTTATATTAAATGGATTGCATCTTTTTAAAGGCTTTCTTGAATTATTTAACCTAAACTAATCAATTTTACTAATCAGAATTAATATTTGGCTATCGTACTAAAAAACAGGTGGTTTTTTTAAAGTATCTAGTATCAATGGGATTGCTGAGATGAGGTCCCATTTGATTGCGGTTGGTCAATTCTTATTTTTGGTCGTGTGCTATTTAGTTGGATTGTCTTGATGATTTCTGTTGTTATCAGGATGGCTTGTGGAGTTCTTTAGTTGTTGTTTTGGACTTAAAAACATCAGAATCAATAGGAGCCCCATAAAAAAAAGCCCCCTCAAAATATATTGGGGCTCCCATTTAATTGTGATGATTTAAAGTCCATTTCTGTTGTCCCAAGTTTAATGGAGCTGTTTGGTGTTAGATATGAGGTTCTACTTAGTAAGACGTAGCACCTCAATGTAATTACGGAATATATTATTTCACCTTTGGAACAATTTTCACCACCCATCAGTAGTCTAGAATTGTATCTGCTGCACCTCTCCACCAGAATTATTCTGCTCTTCCCCAAATAGAATGTTGTCTTCTTGTGTTCACTTTTGTGCCTTCCGTGAGTATGTATATCTACTTTTTTTGATCTACGCATTTGTCCTTTGTCAACATTTCTAAATTCCTGTTAGAGCTAAAACTTTATTAAAAATTCATTCCACGATAACCTTACCACTACCAATTATTCAGAATATAAATTACTCAATTAGATGTCCCAAGTTGTTTTGTGTTGGCTATGGGTTATTATATGAAGGGAAGTAGAAAGAGTCTAAGCATATCCATGATAGATAAGATGACAACAAAGGTGTCAGCATGGGTTTGGCTGAAGCAGAGATCATAAGTTGATGGTGCATCATAGCAGGAATGTGACTCAGTCTTTGATTTATTGCTTGGTTACCGTATTTTAGTCACATAAAAGCAAGAGGACTTTATATACTGGCTAGAAGCTTTCAAACTACTACCCCACCTTCTGTTCTTTTCTTGAATAACTCTCACCATATTTTTTCATTTTTAACATTCCTCTCTGAATCTGTTTCAGAACTTATATTATAAAATGTGGTACTGCTGTTCTCTTGTGCTTACTCTTATTTTTCTCTTTTGTGATGCTCTCATTAATATTGTGATGTAGTTTGAATGAGGAATGATATGGTTGACGTATAACATGGAACTGTAACAATATGTTAGATATTTTCCTTTTCAGTACATCGTTATGATGAAGATGTACTCATGTTTTGGTTTACAAAATTCAACATTATATTCTAGATGTTAAAGAATTTAATGCTGTATTTGTATCACGCAGGCAGTACTACTGGCGGGCTATTGGGTATAGTACCGTCAGCCACATTTCCAAATATGGTCAACCAGAACATGCCTAATATGCCAAACTATTCTGGTTCTGTATCTGGGGCAGTCCCAGGATTGCTTGGGATGATACCAGGTATTGTTCCTGGAGCTTCTGGAGGTGTAGTTTTACCTGGAATTGGAGCATCTATTGGGGAAGTTTGCCGAGAGTACCTTTATGGACGATGTGCAAAAAACTGATTGCAAATTCAATCACCCCCCTCACAATCTTCTAATGACTGCTCTAGCTGCGACCACCAGTATGGGAACACTTAGTCAAGTGCCCATGGCACCTTCTGCGGCTGCTATGGCTGCTGCTCAGGCAATTGTTGCTGCACAAGCTCTTCAAGCGCATGCTGCTCAGGCACAAGCACAGTCTGGAAAAGATTCGTCTGGTATTTCTAGCTCTCATTACTGTCTATAAATTCATCCTATTTGTTGATTATTGTGAGTTATTCTTAAAATTTCCTTACTCCACTAGTCCACTTGTACATTGATTCTTGAATATTTTTTTCTTGTACTTCTATCTCCCATCATTGCCTAATAAGTAATTTATATATTTTTTTGTTACTGGGGGCTGCTCATAAACTTTTCTTACTTAAGTTTCTTCAAACTATATTGCTTCTATAACTTAATGAGAGCAGATAGGCTCTTACTACTTTCTCTCTGCTTCTTCCCCCAACCTACTCATCATAAAATATGATGTGTAGAATTAAAAATGCTTATTGGCATTTCTGCTGTGTATCCATGAGAGTGTACCTCATTCTACTTGTTTGTGCTATTTATGTTTCTTTATGTATCAGGTGACAAAGATAGAAAGGCCGAATCCCTTAAAAGAACTTTGCAAGTCAGCAATCTCAGTCCACTTCTGACAGTGGATCAGTTGAAACAGCTGTTTGGTTTTTGTGGTGCAATCATTGATTGTAGCATTACTGAATCCAAACATTTTGCTTACATCGAATACTCAAAACCCGAAGAAGCAACTGCTGCTTTAGCATTGAACAATATAGAAGTTGGTGGTCGCCCCTTAAATGTTGAAATGGCAAAACAACTTCCTCCAAAGGCAGCTGTCTTAAATTCATCAATGGGCTCTTCTTCTTTGCCCTTGATGATGCAGCAAGCAGTAGCAATGCAGCAGATGCAGTTCCAGCAAGCCCTATTAATGCAGCAAGCTATGACTGAACAACAAGCTGCTAATCGAGCTGCAACCATGAAAACTGCTACAGATTTGGCTGCCGCAAGAGCTGCAGAAATAAGCAAGATGTTGAAAGCGAATGGCCTGGTTTCTGAAGATATGGAAACTGATGACAAAGCTAAGTATGTCACTTGAGCTATTTTTCTTATATGCTTATAATCTATCTTATGTGTTTGGTAATTCATCTAAACTGGTATCAGGAGTATCTTGTTTAATTATTAATAGTTGGACTTATTGCACCTGTAGAACATCACCATGCCTTGTGTTTAGGAAACAGCATGAAGTGAATGTAAGCTATGCATATCCATACCTGTAGATACCAAAAAAGATTACATATAGCTGGCTATGTTCAATGCTTTGATTATAATTGACAACGTAATAGACTTAATTGTGAGTATTGCGACCTTTTAAGATTCTCTATGGCTGTCTTTGATCTAGAGTGATAAAGAGGTCACTAACAAGTTCCAATGAAGAGAGGGGGGGGGGGGGGGGGTACTAGGAACAATCTTAGTATCTGCTTTATAAGTTATATGTGAGTGGTTCTGGGAGGAGTGGAATCTAATTAAAAGGATGGCCTACTGAATCTCCCAGGTATCATATGTTTTACAAGGGTGGAATTTGAGTGGAGTGGGACAAGGACAAGGCTTTCCTCGTGAATCTTCCAAGCATCTTATGGTTTATATAAAAAAAATCTTGAATAATTGTTGCATAATCTATTTCAGTTCTGCAGGAGATCCTATAATGTTTGCTGGTATTGGTTGTTCCTTATTATGGAAAAACAAATGTAAGGAATGTTAATCTGGAGCAATTTCTAGGAAGGTGACAATTTTTTTCTAGGATTTGGATGTCCGAGAGTGTATAGAGTTTCTCATCATCTGCTATTTATTTGCTTGTTTAACTGTATTGGTCTTCTACTAATGAGCTGCACTGTTATAGGTCACCTTCTCCCAGTCGTGCTAGGTCAAGATCCAGGTCGCCATCCAAATCTCGATCCAGATCAAGATCTCCAATAAGTTATAGGCGAAGGCGGAGATCCCGTTCTTTCTCTCCTCCACGGAGATCAAGAGATTATAGATCCAGGTCACCTGTGAGATCCCGGCGCTATTCAGGCTATGAAGATGAAAGGCGGCCATATAGGGATGTTAGATATGCTAATGAAAGAAGTCGAAGACGGGATTTTGTTAGATTCTATGATCGTCGTTCTCCTGTTTCAAGGAGAAACAGAAGTAGAAGCGCAAGTCCTCGAACTAGAAAATCTTACCGTGACGATTCAGGCTCACCAAAACACCGCCGAGAAAGTCCAGCACTTAAGACAAGTAGAGCTTCTCGTCATGAGTCACTATCGCCTGAACATAGACGAAAAAGTAGGTCATCCCCAAAAGATGGTGAAAGAAAATCAAAATATAGCAGGCGCTCGAGATCAAAGTCTGCTGAAGTTAGGGACCAGTCTGATGATAAGCTAGAAGGAAGCAGGGGTGAGAAAGCCAGGCAGAAGGATCAAAGAAGGTCAGCATCACCACAGGTTGATGAAGATGCACAGAAGAAAATGTCACCGGAAGTTGTGGAAGAAAGCAAGTCAAAGCAGAGAAGAGCCTCCAGGTCCAGATCTCCAGAAGAGAAGCATCTTTCTAGCAGAAGCAGAGAAGAGAAAAGAAAGCATCATGCTAGAAGGCGCTCCAGGTCAAGGTCCAAATCTCCTGAAGAGAAAGTTCACTCAAGTGATAAAGTAGACAGAAATAAAGGAGATAAACCTAAGCATCGAAGTAGAAGGCACTCAAAGTCAAGGTCCAGATCTCCTGAAGAAAAACATCATTCAAGTGCTAAATTAGAAAGGAGCAGAAAAGAGAAATCAAAGAGTCGAAGTAAAAGGCGCTCCAGGTCAATATCTGTTGATGATAAGCAGCACGGAACTAAACAGTCAGCAAGCCGTTCTGATAGCCGACGATCAAAGCTCAGGGCACGTTCTAGATCAAATTCTTCTGAAAGTAGGCATGGATCAGGTCAAGATGAAACCGTAAAGGATGAAGTGAGAGGTCATAGGGGTCACCAGAGAAGATCTAGGCAGGATGACAATAATCATGGAACAACTGAGATTAGCTTGATGGAAGAAGATCCTGCTAAGGGAATGTAAACCAGTGACTGATAGCTTCCAATTCATAGAGTTCTGAATCTACGGGTTATGGCTTGTGATACTCAATTGTGTGAACATTTTATTTTACCATTGCAGAAAACATGAGAAGTTTTGAGGAAGCATGATGTCCTGGAAGATTGTGATCCCAACACCCGATGATCAAGAAAGATCTGTTAGACTGAATTAATTGCAGTTTGTATGACGAAAACGCCTTATTTTGCTTCTTTTGCAGGTCCTTCATGGAACATAACCAGAAAGTGAAGTAGCATTAGTTGAAAGGTTGAGTATCAAGTTTGTGCCATCTTGGATCAACTCTGCTGAGTTTCTTGTGAACTACTTTTTGAGCTCATGTATGGTGAACTTTTACCTCTGTCAGTAGGTAGTAATTTCTTAATTGTATGTCTGTTTGAGGATTTTAATTACCCCTTATCCTTTTAGTAATATCAGTGTTGTGAAGGAAGGTATATCAATTACCCTTTCTTGTGAGGGAATTGTGCCTTCCACTGAAGAATTTGAATGTCCTTGAGCATTATGTTCTCATATCCTGTACTCATTAACTGATGCGATCTAATGATAGGGTAGTTTCAAAAAGCTTTCTAATTAAGTAGCGTAGTTGTCTTATGAATCTATTATACTACCTTTGCATGATGAGTTAGTGATGTTGGTAATTCGGTAGTAGGCTCCAATTTTATTTACATTTGGTGGCTTGGTGGGCCTGTTAAATTCCAAAAACATGCAGGTCTTGGGACTGGTTCTTGTTGGCGCTTTATCAATTGAATGGGCAAAGTTATATCTGATTGTATTTGAAGGTATGCAGTTGAAATTTTTGGTTGTTTGAATGGGAGGGCATTCACTGCTTTTGGAACAATTATTTTAAGAATGCTTGCTGAAAATTGTTGGGATGAAGAAATATGTTAAAATTTAAGGTTGTTAATCTTCACATATTTTGCATTGCTTCTTTCCTCATCTTTTCTTCTCCTTTTTTCCATTTTCTCCTTTTTTTTCCCTTTTTTTCTTTCTTTTGTCTTTCTTCTTGAAAATGTTTGGTTAGGCAGGCTGCTATTAAGGTTAATGTAATCAGATGTTGCTGAGATGATAGTGCATGATGCTCCCTGAATCGAGCATGAAACAGATACTCATATCTGTTCTTTAATTGGTGGAACTCAATTGTTCCATAACAGGTAAAATCTTGTTGAATTCATTAGCTTCTAGTTTTTATCCTTGCAAACGGAGTAATGGAGGACATGATGGTTATTGCTCAACACCTCTAGTTCACACACAATTTTAGTAGCCGAAATTGTCTAATTGATTAACAGGTGGTTTATCTGGCCTCTTGCTTATATTTTATTCGTCTAGTGTCCTCCGGGATTACAGTAATTAAAGTGATTGGAACCTCTTGCAGTTACTTCAAATATTAGGAAAAAATATTGCACTTAAGAAAAACAATAGGCATTAAGAAAATAGAAGCGCGATTAAGTCATTTATTTGGGGGAATGGTATGTATGAAATCCACATTTGCACTGTATGCTGACACTTGTTTGTAGCATGCTATGACATGTAAAAGCTACATACATTGTATGAAATAACCTTATCTGAGGAATTCCCTCCTTGATCTGTATCATATATCTGATTGTGGAAATTCTCGTATTACCCTTGTACTTTATATTGACTCCTATGCTCTCATGGTGGCCACCTTATTGTCTTCTGAAGGCATTCTTTGTTAACTGTCTGAAGAATCTCTGCCTTCTTTTTTTTTTTTTTTGGGTTTTCCATTTTGTTTTTTCTAGGTGGTGCTGGATGTATGGGACTGAGAGCTGTATCCTGTTGTCAATCTAGATGTGGTTGATGTCACACTTATAATTTCCTTCTCTTCCCCCTTCCTTTTTCATTTACATTCACGTTTACCCTTCCCCGTCTTTCATCTCGGCTTCTCTCCCTTGCTTTCCTCGTTTTGTTTTTTGGGGTGGTTGGAGGTTCTATAAGAAGTAGTATGACTAGCTAAAAGGCACAAGCAGCAAGGCGAGGAAACATTAATTTTGGCTGGTGATTTGACAATGTATTTTTGCTAGGATGTTTTTTTTGGACAAGGATTATAGCTCAAGAGTAGACACTTTGTTTAGGTGTGTATGGGCCATCTATGAAATAAAAATCAACAGATATTTTTCAGTAGTCTTCTTCCTTTGTATGTTAAAGTTTCAATACATCCACATGATGCTTATCATCCTTCTTTCCCATCAATTCTTCACTAGTGGACTATACTTGAGTTAAAAATGGTGTTGGCTGATACCATTTTCACTCCCTGATAGCAGATTATCCTATAGGGTAAAAGTTGATTCTGACCCTCGAAATTTGGCTAGTGTTCTCATCCCTGGATCTGAAAGATATTTGTGTCTTGTGAACTGATTAAATTATCTCCAGAAGCAAACTATACTTTTGTTTTGATTTGTCTATCCCTTGTTGTTTGGTGTGGTTCTGTGGAATCTTGTTTGATAAACATCCCGTTCTATTCGCTTATACGCTTTGTGCTAGCTCACCAAGAATGCACATTCCATAAACTTATCGTATGCATATAACGAGGAATCTATTCTTTTTTGTTTAGTTTTTCTTATAATTTGATATGCTTTATGAGTCTTGCTCTACTTATTTTCTGGGTTTCTCTATTTTTGGGTGTGCAATAGAGTCATCTGAAGCTGAGTTATGAATGCATGTAAAAGATTTTGAACGAACATTGTATCATCAGAAGGTTTGAGGTCAAGGAAAAAATTAACGGAGCTGTAGGTGTTATCATTTTCGATCAACCGTTAAAACTTCTGTTCTACTTATTAGTCATATAAACAATTTAATTGTAACAATTTGTTTACATAAATCGAAAAACAGTTAACCAGTAACCACTAATACCAATTGAATTAGTCGTCGTTCGATTGTGATTATGTTGAAATAGGGTAGATTACGCTAAATACCCTTGTAATTTGAATCAATTGCACCATGTAATTTTAAATTCAACACTCAGATAAGGTAAGGCTTTGTGTACGTACCTACAATGTTTGTACTTAGCAATTCTATGAAATAAATATAGGATACGATCATAATTTTGTACTTTTTACACCATCGAAATGAGAAATAACATCTGGTAAAAATTATGATCTTATCCTAAACTGAGGTGTACATGGCCATAAAGTTCATTATCAATGTACAGCTTTTATCTCTGATTTTGTATTTTTGCAATTTTGAGAAGTGACAACTTATCCATCCACGTAGAAAGAGTAGCCAATCTTTGGCAACTTTAGGTTCATGTCAAAATCATTGTCAACAAACAAATTTAGGTACAACTTACAAGTTGTTATTTGGTGCAAAAGTGCATTAATATATTTCTTTTTCGTATGTGGGGCTAAAGCAACGTGGCGACTTACTCATTCAATGACTTTAGTACTAGACGTTCCCAAAATGAAGACTTTTAGGTAAATTCATTTTAATAGACAAGGAAAGCTTGAAACTTTTTCCATCTCTCTCAATAATTGTGTCGAAGTCGTTTTTAGGGGGACTTTCTCATGAAATAATTGTAATGAGGAATTTTATCGTATATTCCTTATAATTATGATTAATTCACAAATTTTAAGTAAGATGGTAGAAAGTTAGCAAACTTTTTAAATCTCTCTAGAAGCTCGACAAAATTGTCTGACTCACAAATATCAAATTGTTGGTGTATCAAACTCAATAAACCTAATGACATTTAATTTTTTGATAATGAGTTCATCTAAATCTGATATTTTTTAAGTGAAACATAATAGTATATAAACGAAAACCTTCGGAAATATTGAAAATATAATGAAGTTTAATGATAAAAATCTTAAAAATCAATTAACTCATCAAATTAAGGTACTTTATCCGTCTTCAACTAAAACTCATTACTACTATGGCTCCCTAATAGGTTGTGAAATCGATTAGCCACTAATTTATTTCAAATTGAAAATAGTTAAAACGACATAAATACCTTTCACTATGGTAAAAACTCCAACCTCTCGGATAAAATATGTGAAAATTTCATCCTTCTTAAATTCCACATGTGAAACTATATTGAATTACTCAATACTCGCTTCTAGTAGTGAAGTTATGAAATTTATTAAGGGGTCAAACTATGACGAAGTAAACACATGAACTAGCCAAAGAGAGTCCAACATATATATTATATTAATGGTGTAATTTTCGGTATGTTGCGCCTCCTATTCTCCAAATTTAATTCTTCAATTTTAACTTTTCATCTGATATATTTATAATACATTCAACATATTGTTACGTCAAAATTAAAACCAAATGGAATGTATCGAAATACTCCACTTGCCTTTTTCTTATATATATACACACCTAAAAACCTTCACACTTCAATCAAATTCCACAAGAAGAAAAAAATGTATCTAAGAACCCCAATAGATCGTGTACTATTTTCCCCATCATATCCACAATTTTCAAGAACTCAAAAAGTGTCTTTGAGAGTTCATTCAAAACTTAACAACAATGTGATAGAAATTAGTGAATCAAAAAGCTTTTATGAGCTTTTGGGTATTCAAGAAACTGTTTCTTTATTAGAAATCAAACAAGCGTATAAACAATTAGCAAGAAAGTACCACCCAGATGTTTCACCTCCGGGTCGGGTCGAAGAAAATACCCAAAGGTTTATTCGGGTTCAAGAAGCTTATGAGACATTATCGGATCCTAAATCAAGAGATATGTATGATAAAGATATGTATAAAGGTCTTCACTTTGCATTCTCTCCTCGTAGAAAGTGCCAAAATGATGAGGTTGGTTTTTATTTATTTTTTGATAATTTTTTTTGGATATTTGGGTGAATTAAAGTTTGTGTTTTTAAAATTTGTAAATTATTGTATTAAACATTTTAACTTTGAGTTAATTGATAACTTAACACTCTAACTCATCCTTGTTGTGTCTCGTGGATACTGGTGTTGATGTGACACATAAATTTTTGGAAGTGTGTAGATGATTATTTTATAAATTGGAGTGTTCAATTGAGACGAGTTGATGTGTCTAATGTGAATATTGTTAGGTGAGGGCGAGTTTAAGTAATAATACTATGGGGTGAATTAAAGTTTTTTTATGTGTGTAAAAATTTGTGGTAGTGGTGTTTTTTTAGGTTGAAATCAAATGGGGTTTGTTTAATTATCTTGTTTTAGTCACCTAATTTGTGTGTGTTTATATGTTTGGTGTCTAATTTGAGGGCAATTTTTCTTTATTGTGATTGTTGACAACTAAGTTGTTTGGACTCTTCACTTTCGATGTCATACATACTACTTTTGGAGAATCCGACATGCAGTTGTTGACATTTTTGAGGAGTCTGAGCAACATAGGTTGACAATACTCTCCTATTTTAATTTTTTTTTCCTCTAGAATTTGGTATGCTTAATGATTTTGTGTAGAACATATTAGGATATAGTTGTGTGACTGAAAAGGTTGACAACAAGGTCTGGGATGGATGGAATATTAGTGTTTGGCTGATATTTGATTTGAAAGAGTTGTAAGAATCAGGGGCGGAGCTAGCAAGGCACAAGGGGGTTGGCAGGTTGCCCAAGATCAAAAAAATTGAAAATGTGTATATAGCAGACGTTGAATCTCTTGACTTCTTTGTGTGTTTACTTCTTTATATTTTGAATTTCTTAGTGAAAATCCTGACTTTGCTACGAGTAAGGATCACTCATAGAACATGGAGTTAGCGTTGTTGAAATGCCATATACTTCTCAGTGCATCTCTACAACTTTATACAGCCTCTGCTACTGAAAATATATCGTTTGTTTAGAGAATCGCAGCTTTTGCATCCATATAATTGGTTTTTTTTGTTGTTGTACAGTGATATATCCGCGAATTCTATCTTGATATCTTCTATTTTCTTCACTGATATGGTTTTCTTATATGCATTTAGTCAATGGAGGACACTGGTGAATGGAAGAATCGTTGGCATTCCCAGCTATCTGAGTTGAAAAGAAGAAACACACACAAGGACTCTGTTAACAATATGTCATGGGGTGCACGTATGCGTAGACAAAGGAATGAAACATCGTTATAACGAATAATCCTTGTTATATAATTTTTATATATTGCTTGTATATTAGATATGTAATTGGAAGTGTTTGGTTAGCATTGATGTTATAAGTAGTGTAACAACTGTGTAAGTGCTAACCAAATATAGGTAACTGTTTGTACATAGAGTTATTTGAATCAAGTTGCTATTTTAACCATATCGCGCTATTATTTCTCGAGCTATTTACATGGTTTCTGCATTCGTATGTTGAATTTGTGTCAATCGCGTTCTTTGTTTTGGCAATGATTGATGCAAATAGAGAGACTTTTCTATTCATGTGCAGTTGTTTTTCAAACAAAAGGAAGAGTGATAGTGGCTTTCTCTTCATAATAGTATTTGGACTTAGAGCCGTCAATATGGGTCAATTCAACTTAAGTCAGCCCAGTCTACATGGGCTGTATAAATTATTGGCCCAACTTCTCATTTGAGGACCTTCAAAATGCTAACCCAATCCAGCACTACACGGCCTATGGGCTGTTGGGTGTCCAACAAACCTTTCTCATTCACCGCAGTTTCTCTTACTAGCAGATAAAACTACTAATATCACATCATATAGAATACCGATTGATAGACATTCAAGTTTATTATATAATTCATATTGATGATGTTATTGTTTTCGCGAGCGTATCCTTTCTTGGAGTCATAGTTGTTTCCAATCAGAAGTTAATGCATGCTTTCCTAAAGAATAAAAGGGAAATTATAGCCCAATGTTTTTGGCTATTTAATTACAAAATATGTACGTAGTGTATAAATAATGAATACTTTATACAAGTATATACATGTACTACAATTCAGAGGCGTATCCAGGATTTTGGAATGATGGGTGCACAGTGCACTATTGTGAAATGGTGAATCTAATTGGTTTGACACTTAGTTTCATATCGTTGCAAACAGTTAAAATTTTAAATCTATAGGTCCAAAATTGAAATGATTAATTAATTATAACGCCAAAAATGCTACCAATAACCACTTAGAGAGGTGTTACCTAATTTTAAAAAGAAAAATAGTACAAGATAGATACAAAATTCAAATTTCTAATGTCACTGAGAGGTGCACCCAATCATCATTCCATTATATAATA